TTTTTAATTTTATTTTTTGACTTACAATATCTACAATTTCCTTTTTGCCTCCCTGCTTTTAACGGGTTCCATTCCTCCGCCTAGGCCGCGTGACCTGCCTTGCAGGCGCCTAGCGTAATGACCCAGAGAGCAGTAACACCCGAGGCGTTGACTGAGGTCGTTAGTGCGACGCTGGGCCGGTCGGCCGGGCCTTTAGCCGGGCCGGGACCGGGAGCCGCCGGGGGCCAACAACTAGTTCTACAGGCTCTACCCACGCATCCAGCAGACGACGCTGGCTCTGCGTACCTCGCGTGCTGCAGAGCGGAGTCGATCAATCAGCTCCTCAAAATGACCCCATTTTCACGCCAGGGTCCGCCGGGGTCCGTGAACGCGTCAAGTCGTCAGAATGACGCCACTGGCTGGATGTCAACGAGATTTTGACGTGATCTCGACCAGGGCCAGGGGTGGTACTCGGTCCGCTCCGGCCTCTTTAGAATAAACGCATGCATGTTGCTTAGCCGTCTCTTCCTCTCGCTTGGCCGACGAGCAGACAGCCTTCCCTGAAACTCGCCACTTACCAAGCGTTTCTTGTTTGTTTCTGCAGGGTAACGACGAGTCTTGCCTGGCCATCCTCAACAACTTCTACAACGACGGCATCAACTGGCACGACGTGGCCTGCCACCACCTTAAGCCCTTCGTCTGCGAGGACAGCGACGAGCTGCTCAACTTCGTCCGGTCTCGCAACCCTGGCATCCGCCTCTAAGCTGCCACTTCTGCCATACTGCAAACATACAAAACCCTGTTATTTAAACGTTGCCAAAACGAGATGAGCAGATGAACGGAGGTATGAGTGCGTGAGCGACTGAGAGAATGTGCGCGTGTGTCATGTGTGTGAATGCGTTTCTGAGTGACAGTGAGAAAGAGAAAGAGAATCACTCTGTGACACGGAACGTTCAGGACCTATGCGTCAAAATTTGTTGTTGTTGTTATTTTCTGTTTTAAAAAAATAAGAGAAAGAACTACTGTCGTGTCAAGACGAGAGGTTGTTATCGACGAGTCTACTTTGACCACCTTCAACCCAATCCCTTGTGAATACACCTCCCTCCTCGACGAGAACTATGTACAATCTGTTTATTTTTTATCTATTTTGT